TTCTCTTGAGAAAAAATAGTAGTCTGATTATTTTGTTGATAATCTTGTGTGGCCAGATGTGCAGAAGTAAATTTCTTCTGAGGAGGCTTCTTTGAAGTGTCTTGATTTTTTGTTGCTCACTTGGGCTTTCCCACTAACTCCCAACAGGTTTCTCGAGTGTGTCTAGGCTTCTGGCAGTGAGTACACCACAGTTTGTCCTTGTCTTCACCTTTCCTTAATTCTCCCTTTTTCATTCCTATGTTACCCCCTCTTGCAGCTAGGGCAATATGTAGATAGGCTACAAACTTACAAGTAGATGGTTCTACTTGAAGCTGATAAATCTTGGCAAAGTGCCTCTGTTCAGAATAGGTTGCTTTAGCTTGTTCCCAAATTTCACAAGCTGTGTCAGCCCATATGAAATTTTTCTTTACATGAGGCAACATGGAGCCTAACAACCATGACATAACCATGCTGTTTTTTTGATCCCATCGATCATGTTCAGCAGTACTAGACTTTGGTTCTTTTATTTTTCCACTTATATAACCAGCCTTCCCCCTAGTAGTGATATAAAGTTTGATGCCTTTGGACCATTCTAGATAATTCAAGCCATCAAAGGGGGCAATGGACATAGAGAAGATCATGTTGTCCATTCCCCCATTTAGGTTTCCTTGCTAGGAAGTAATACAAGAGGTTGCTGAATCCTCAGTAGCCATTTCCACAAAAAAAATTACTGCTGCTTTTTTTTTTTTTTTTTCAAAAAACCAATCTGAGATAGAGGGTTTTTTCTTTTGAAAAATAAGAAGGCTCCAAAAATAGGTTCAACAGGACTGTAGGTCAATAACTCTTAGCCGAAACACTTCAGTTTATAAGAGGAGGAGACATCCAGCCCCTACAACCTCAAAACTGTGACATTCATAGTGGTCAAATATTTATGTATGAATGTAACAGTACATACCTGGCTTCCACGACCTACAGTACATAGAGAAACCTCAGAAAACAAAGCCTTAATGCATTCGATTGTCGCCACAAACCCAGAAAAAACACCTTACTGTATTTGGTTGTCACCACAAATCTAGAGAGAACCTTTATTGCATTCTACTGCCATCACACCCTTCTTCTTGGTACAACGACCAAGAGAGAAGAAAGGAAAAAATGAGGGCTGAAGGTTGCGCCCAGATGAAGAACACGATGGAGTCTTCAATCAAAAGGAAGATTTTCGAAAAAGGAAAAAAAACACGATCTGAGAAGGTTGTGCCTAGATCAATGCTATAATACCATGTAGTTCGATAGAACAAGAAGAGAGAAGAGAGAAGGAAGAGAAGGAAGAAAGGAGAAAGAGAGGAGAAAAGAAAATCTATTCAAATCAGTGGCTGGCGGCGCCTTTTATATATAGGGCGACAACTTATAACAAATACAATGGGAAAAGACAGAAATGCCCCTACTAGGTCTCTACACATTACAACTAGGATTAAGAATTTAAGATCCTAACATTGATTTGTTTGGGCTTGCCTCAAGGGGCTTGGTACAAAGGCGGCTCATAAATCAAGAATGCAAGATGTTTTACATCACGTTAGCTATTTAAAGTGATGCAATTGAGGAAAAAACGTTGTAGGTTTTACATGCTTGAAAATGTTTTATATGTTATCTATCAGAAAAATAAAAAGAAAATGTTTTATATGTTTGATTTTATTTTTAAATTTTCATTTGAATACACTTTACATGTTATGTTTATGTATTTTGATTTTAGATAATAGGTTTTTTAAAATATTTATTTTGAAATTAAAGTTTATATTTTTATTTATGTTATGATTAGTATTTTTTAATTGCTTTTAGTTTTTTTATTTTTTTGCCATTTTTTGTACTTTTGCCCCTCGTTTCAAAAGGTGTGCCTTGCGCCTTGTGCCTCGGGTGCAAATTGCCCCTTGAGTTTTTTTTTTTTTTTTTGTGCCTTGTGCTTTTAATACACTGGTTGTGCCTTTGAAGAAGTCAAATAGCACGAATAAATCTCAACTTGTCTATGTTACAAAGGTGTTCTCACATCTTAAAGATGGTCTTGTAGGAGGAGTCCTACCATCAAGTACAAAAGATTAGACAAAAGAAAGGGAGTAAAAGGCTGTGATAATGAGATAGAGGATATGGAGTTTTTTTTTTAAACCTTGTTTTAGATGGGTAGGAGGAGTGGCTTGTTGGAATTGGTGGTTTTGCTTGGATTATTTGAAGTGCGTTGTTTTCTTTTTTTTTTTTCTGTTCTTTGTTTTGAGTGGATGGACTAGGGAGTTTGTGATGGGGATTTTTCTTTTTTCAGTTCTTTGTTTTAGACGATTTGAGTGTGTTGTTTCCTTTTGTATTCTCTTTTTTTCTTTTAATGATTTTTTTTTTCATTTTCAAAACAAAAGAAGATTTAGAAACCAGAGAAAAGATAGAAACATTTTGGTCTCCAAATTGTTGCTAGATTAAAAGGGGGTCTATTTGGATTGGGCCAAACAAGAAGATGATGAAATCAAAGAAAGTCTTGAAAAAGAGGTAGAAATCCATTGTATTGGTTTATTCTCTCTCATCTTGTACTTTTGGTTTTTCTCTTGGGCTGGTTTTTTCTGTTCCTTTCTGTTCAGCTAGCTTGGAGTTGCAATCTAAGGTGGGTTGGGTTCCGAGTGGGTCTGTTGTGGTTAGGGTGCTTTCAGGTTCCTTTTCTTTCTAATAAAAAAGTAGAGTATTTGGGGTCTGTTGTTTATGCTGTTCGGTGGGTGTTTGGTAGGAGCTTCTTATCGCTCACCATCCTTGTATCTCTTTCTTCTTTTTTAATAATATTTTTTTATTTTATTACCAAAAAATGTTTTGATAGCTATAGACTAGGAGGATTTGGGGAATGAACTAAACGTGGATAGGAAATGTTTTCAATGATCTTCATATGCTTGCCAATCTACCAGTCTACTTCCTTTCAGTGTTTAGGATCCCCCGTAGGGAAGCTAGGAAATTAGAAAAATTGATGAGAGATTTTCTTTGGGTACTAGGGGAAGAGAAAAAGGATCACTTAGTTGATTGGGAGACAATGTGCCGGAGTAAAGAGGGGTAGGGGGTTTGGGATTAGGGAATTTGTTCCTTAAAGATGAAGCTTTATTGGGGAAGTGGATGTRGAAATGGCCTCTGGAAAGAGAAAGATTGTGGCACAGGATGGTGGTTAGTATTCATGGCTGTACTGCCTCTGGTTGGGATGTCGGAGTATCTCATCGGGCTACCCAAACAACACCTTGGAAGGTAGTACATGGCATTCTTCCCAAATTCCTTCAACTTGTGAGGTATGACACTTGCTCTGGGAGTTTAATTCATTTTTGGGAAGACACTTGGGTGGGCAATCAACCCCTAAAAGATCTTTTTCCTTCCCTTTATTTTCTTTCCCTTTATAAAAAGGAGGTTAGTTTTGTCTTTCTCCCCTCTCCGGTATTACCTTTATCCTTGAACTGGGACTTTGTTTTTTGTAGGGGATTAAGGGAGGCTGAGTTTGTTTGTGTTACTGAACTTCTTTCCATCTTAGACGGTGTTTGTGTGGACCCCCTTCTCCTAATAGAAGAGTGTGGACCCCTATTCCAAAAGGTTCCTTCACTTGTGCATCCTTCAAATCCCTCTGTGTACCTCCCTTGAGCCTTTCCCTGTAAAAGAAGTTTGGTCTAAGCCTGTTCCCCCCAAAATTGCTGTTTATTGCTGGGAGGTGTACCTTGGTAAGATCAATACTTTAGAGAATTTACAAAAGAAAAAGCCTTTTCTGTGTTTATCCCCAAACTGGTGTGCTTTGTGCAAATCTCATAGTGAGGACTGTTACCACTTACGGATTTCTTGTTCTTTTGCTGCAGCTCTCTGGGATTGGATATCTGTTTGGTTTGGATATATGTGGAATCAGCCAACAGAGGTAAAGTTCTTGTTTTCTCCGTCTACCTTTGCTTGCCCAACAAAAAGAGGGAGCAATATGTGGAGATGTTTCAGAGAGGCCACCCTATGGACAGTTTAGGAAGAAAGAAACGCTAGAATCTTCCAAGATAAGGAGAGATCTTTTACAGAAGTTAAGGAATGTGTTTTAACCAGAGCTATTCACTAGCTGAAATCCTTGGCTTTGTTCAACTCTTTCTCCTTTGATGACATTTGGAGGAATTGGGCTGTAGTCACACACTCCGGTTAGGAAAACTAGGGCTGCAACAGTTTGGGTAACTCCTCAAGAAGGGATTATTAAACTAAATTTTGATGGAAGCAGTAACCCAAGACCGTCTGGAATAGGAGTCTTGAGGAATGAGAATGGCAATAATATATCTTTATTCTCTAGCCTGGTAGGAATAGGAGATTCCACAAGAGCTGAGTTGTTGGCTGCAGTACAAGGAATTCAGATTGCTAATCAACTAGGAGTGGAGAACCTATTAATTGAAGGAGACTCTAAGGTGATTGTGAGTTGGCTGTGAAATCCTGACTCAGTTGCTTGGAGTTATAAGGATCACATCAAAAAAGTTTTAACGAGGCACATTTTGTGTAGATACCAGTGGGTGGGTACGGAGGCAAATACCTTGGCTGATTATCTTGCAAAACAAGGGTCTATTAGATATCAGTTATTTTGGGCAGCTTTGTAATCTTTTTTCTTTGAACACTTATAATGATTAGTGGAGGCTGCATCTCATGCCTCCCCAAGGGATGCTTGTAAAGTTTTATTCTGACTGATTAATGAACTCATTTTCAACTATCAAAAAAAAAAAAAAGATCTTCCTGTTCTTCTCTTAATTGACCTTGAGATCTTAAGAATGTAGATATGCACAAAGACATACATGCATACATATGTAGAAACATAATACATCATTAATGGCTATTAAATTTATGTCTACGTTTGGGTATTTTATACTCAAGTATCTAAAAATGGTGCTCAGAGTTCCTATTAAGATCATAAAAGTAACATGTTTATGTGTGTATTGCATAGACATGCTCCTCTTATCAGTTTAGGGATATAAAGCAAGATCTTATTGTTTTACTTTTTTATTCTTGAGAAGGTTTACACAAAGTGCGGAAGAAGAGCCATGCCAACCATGATGATGGGGTCTTCAGCGATATTCATAGATTGTGATGAGTGCTGGAAATTGTTGTTAGTCACAAGGAAGGGATCAGTATATGTGTGGGATTTGTTTAACAGGACCTGTCTGCTGCATGATTCACTAGCTTCTTTGATTACTTCTAGTCCAAATTCATCTGGCAAAGATGCAGGTGTCATTTTGAAGATCAAATTTCATTTGGATAATTAGGCCATATTTTCTTTATTTTGTTGGCTATTAGTTTATTGCTTCTTGTCTTTGCGGATTTTGAATGTAGTTGTGGTTACCTAACATCTTGAACCTTTAAATTAGATGGTTGTGGTGTTTACTGTTACTGTATTTGCAGGTATAATTAAAGTTATATCTGCAAGGTTCTCGAAATCTGGTTCACCTCTTGTCATTTTGGCCACCCGACATGCCTTCCTTTTTGATATGAGCATGATGTGTTGGCTGAGGATTGCAGATGATTGCTTCCCTGCATCCAATTTTGCAACTTCCTGGAATCTTAGTTCAACTCAGAGTGGTGAACTAGCTGCTTTGCAGGTGGATATTGGGAAGTTTTTAGCAAGAAAGCCAAGTTGGAGCAGGTACACAAGGATAACTTTTCTAGTTTTGATGTTTAATATGTTGCATGCACTACTGACAATGTATCTGTAACTGCAATTTAACTTGGACTTGTGTGTTGGTACAGGGTGACTGATGATGGGGTGCAGACACGTGCACATTTGGAGGCTCAGTTGGCATCTTCACTGGCATTAAAGTCCCCTAATGAGTACCGCCAGTGCCTTCTGTCATACATACGTTTTTTAGCAAGGTTTGTGCATTTCAAGTTTTCTTGTTGAGTATTTTAGCTAGTGAATTTTTCTTCTTTTTGTTGGTTGACTTGATTCCATTTAGTGGGGTTCCTTTTTTTTTTTCTAGTTTTAGTACCTTATGCTAAATCTGTATCTCTCTTCTGGCACTCCTTTATGCTGTGATAATCTTCATATTTTTTTGGTGCCACTAAGTTGTGATATGCCTTCTGGCACCAGGCAGCTGAATCTATTTGTCTTTATCAGTTCAATCAACTTATTTTAGTCTTGGAGGCGGCAATAGTATTTCTTTACGAGTAGCTGAAATGTAACTGCTTAGAAGGGTGAAATGATTTGATTGAGTTATATCAATACTTTTTGGGATAAATAGTTGTATATACCCTGTAGTTTCAAAACCTACTTATGTGTTTACCTTGTAAGATGGTCCCACATGACACAAATAGACCTAGACCATCTGTTAGAAGAACATTTAGGACCATTGCATATGCCTATTATTTTTTTTTCATAATCCCATTTTACTCTCATATTCTTCTCTCTTCCTCTCTGTTTTCTTTCCTGTTCCATTTCTTCCCTGTCGGTTCTCTCTCTCTCTCTCTGTGTATATATATATATATATATATATACCTTCTTCCTTTCTTCCCCACCCACTAGTTTCTCCTCTCTCTCTCTCTCTTTCTCTCCCCCCTTTTTCCTCTCCTCATCTCTTCCTCTTTTGCTCCCAGCTAGTTTGACTGTTTGTTCGTGAAAAGGAAATGGGGATCAATTTTGATTAATTTTTGCAAGGGGCACACCAAAAAACTAGATAACAGAAAAAACGTAGGAATTTTTACAAGGGCCAAACAGGGCAAACAAAGAGCACTTTGATTGAGTGGTGTTTGCAACAGCAGAGAAGAAAGGAAGGGAAAGAAACGTCCATTACAGCCCTGAGACACCACTGTCTTCTCTTGGTGGTGTTTGCAGCTGTGGTGAAGAGAGGAAGGTCAGCAAGGTATATATTAGGTTTTGAAACTTTAGGGTATATATTTTTTTTGATAATTAACAGAAACTTTCATTAAGAGATATTAAGCGAAAAAGATACAAGAGGAGGGGTAAAATCTCTTAACCTCCCTAAAGGTACATTTCAATTTACAATATTGCCCAGAAAACTATAGGGTATATTTCCACAAAAAAAACCTACAGGGTATATATAAGTAGTTTCCTCAAACCTCAGGGTAATATAAGTAATTATCTTTTTTTTTAGGGGTGAGCTGTTTCATGTGCTTGAGACTTTTGAAGGATATTGATTCTTGCTTCTAGTGCCATTGTATCAAATTGAGCTATGCTTTATTTATCACTTTAATCAATAAGATAGTCCATTGGACCATATGAATGCGCTAGAGCCTAGAATAAATATAAAGGAAGGAGGGCATACCATTCTGGATTACTGGATTGAAGTTTTAGGAATACTTTTTCCATTGTATATCATGCAATTTGAAAATGAATGGAAGAACTATATAGGATCAGGAAGTCAGTCATCTGCAGGAACCTAGGAGTAACTCCAATAGGTGCTAAAATGAGTGAGTAGACTAAGATGGTTTTGTAATGTCCATAGAAGACCACCAACAGCCCCAGTTAGAAGAACTGATTTGTTATAAGTTGAAGGGGCTAGAAGAGCCAGGGGTAGACCAAAAAGAACAGAGATGGGTAGAACCATAGAAATAGTAAGAAATGATTTAGCACTAATAACAGTGGATATAGCTTTAATAGAATGGATTGGCAAAAGAGGATTCATGTAGCCAACCCCATATAGTTGGGATAAGACATGGATGATGATGATGATGATATCATGCAATTTGTTGATATATCCACCTTATATTTACAGCGTGGCTCTCATATCTATATTGGTTTGTTGTTTCTTGTTCTCAAGTCATATTATTGGCATTTATTCACAAGAAAATAAAATTACAAAATCAAGGAATAGGTAATTCATAAGTTTTATGTACTATGTAGTTCATCTTACTATGAGTAATGACAGATGAATATCACTTCCTTGTCATTGTTGATGTTGCTGCCTATTTTACATTACATTTGTTTATATATTAGTTCCTATATATTTCTAATCACTAAAAGTGAGGCCTTTGATTGTTTGGTACCTTTCAATGTCATGTACTCCTGAAATGTGATTCTCAACCATGTCATTAATCTGGCTGTTAAAGGTGCTGGTCAGGCAAGAGAAAGATTGTTTGGTACCTTCCTAAATAAGAGCCTTGTGTGGGATCCCCTAAGCATTCAATTTGGAAGTCAGTTTTGCTTAACAATTGGGTCCATTGGTACAGCGGGAAGTTGGTCCAATCTTCTGGGTGCTCATGGTTTGCAGTTTGCTTAAATTGTTAGGATATCTAGGCTCGAGAAAGAAGCAGAGGCTGGACAATACAATGTTGCTTTTAATAATTTTTTGTTGCTTTTATGATGTTCGGCAATTTTAACCTGTGAATATTTGATCAAGCCAGGCTGGGAAATACTGTTCCAAGTAATACTGGATAATTGGCTTAACACAAGGTCCAAAAGTATCAACTGAATGCACTAACCCTACATGAAACACGTCATAACATGATAAGATTTATAATTGTATAAAACCCTAGATAGGAACTATATAAATAAATATTTGCTCTGCTTAAGCAAATAATTGTCCCGAAAGTTTATCATCATCTAAGCTTGTCCCAACTATATGGGATCGGCTACATGAATCCTGTTTTTCCATTCTGTTCTTTTCAGTGCTATATCCATTGTTAGATTATGGGTTATTGTCCCAAAATTTAAAAGCCTAGACAACAGCCTTAGCACAAGGTCCAAGATGTGTTCCCTTAATACATTAGCAACCCTGTTGGAAACTAAATTACTTTACCTTTCCTAAAAAAAAGTAAATAGCCAAGTCATGGCATGATAAGATCTGAATGCACAAGTACTGCTGGTTCTTGTCTGTTCCTTAATTTAGTCTTTGATTGATCCTCAAGTGAAAAGTGAGTGTTATTTTAACGTGACTCCATTTGGCTGTTGTAGTCAACAAAATAAATAATCTTTCTATTATTTTCTTGCAGAGAGGCAGATGAGTCCCGTCTACGAGAAGTCTGTGAGAGCTTTCTTGGGCCCCCAACAGGAATGGCTGAATCAACATCATCAGATCTCAAGAATCCAGCCTGGGATCCTTGTGTGCTTGTGAGGCTTTGAAATCTCTTTTCTAATGTCTTAATGCATCCTAAAACAGATATAGTATTTTTCTTGATTATCACATAGTTTTTTGTGCTGTAGAAAAAAATCAATTCTGAAATTTAGATCATTTGAAGCTGTACCCTCTGATGTTTTAAAAGCTGTGCCTAAGTGTACAAGTAGGGCGTATTTAAAGGCAGGTGCCTTGCTTTAACTCAGGCGCAATCCTTTTCAAAAGAGACACACCTGGTGCACTTGCCCTTAGCCTGAGAGCATGTCTTTTCTACATGTGTCGTTCTTTATTTTAGTTCTTTGGTATTTGTTTTACACTTTTGTATTGATTGGTCTATCAATTTTTAAATTACCTGCTATTGCTTTTTGTACTTGTAGACTAGTAATGGACTATTAACATTTAAAATAAACAAAACAAAAACCTTTTAAGTTAAATACTTGAAGCCTTAGTTCTTGCAAATAGGATCTCAAATAGTAAATTTTCCAATAAAGAAGCAATAGCCATAGTTTTCAAGTCACTAAGTGAAGAAGCTAGGTGGTAGGGGGCACCTAGACATCGCCTAGGTGATGGAATCTTTTACATAGAAACCATGAATCCTAGGATAATTCCTTATGTTACATATTCATTTGTAATTATCTATAAACTTCAGAAAAGTTATAAGCTTCATATTAAAACATAGAAAATAACATATTTATGAGAAGAAAAAAATAAAGAAAGAAAATTCAGAAAAATATAGGGGCTGAGCACCTATTTTTGTCTAGGAAAAAGAAAAAAAAAGGTGGTGCAAGGAGAAGAAGAAGAAGAAGAAGAAGAAGATGATGATGATGGTGATGATAAAGAATGTGTTGATTGGACAGAATTTTAAATTCTTATTTGCTTATTGGTTCAGGTTTTGAAGTCTTTGAGGGTTCAAGACAGCATATGCCAGCACGTGTGTTGATTGAACCTAATAAGAAAATAATAAAATGAATGTAGTATATAAACCCACAAAATGACTGGTTTAGCTTAATATCTTTTTAATTATTATTATTATAATTATCAAAGAACTAAGAATATAAAAATTTTTTATAGCTGAATGTACAAAATCGGTAAGGTGATTAAGTGAGGCAGCCATCCATAGATGCCTTGTTGCCTAGGCATCGCCTTGACAACTATGGCAAGTTGGCAACAACTAAATCCCTACCTAAGCCTAAAATAAAATGAACTGTGATTCTGTGATTAAAATCATAAATCAAATGCTTGTGTGTGTGTGTGTGGCCTTGAAGAGATAACAATTTAAAGGCCCCAACCTTCCTAATGTTATGAATGTAAGACATCTAACATCACACTACCTACTTGAAGTAGTGCAATTAGGAGATAATTAACACATTAAAAGTTTCACATGCTTGAATTGTTGATTGAAGCAGTTGGGTATGATCCACATGTTTATTTTCACATTCACTTTTTCACTTAGAATATGTTTTATGTATTATGCTTGTGTATTTTAATTTGAGCCAATAGGTTTTTGAAAACTTTTAATTTCTATCAGAATACAGTTTCTCATTTTTTATGTGATACTGTTATTTTTATTTCTTGAATTTTCCTTAAAAATTCACACCTTGCTTTGAAAATGTGCACATCTCACCTTGGACCTTTAGCCTCAGGCACTAAAGGCATTGCTCTTTTAAAACACTGCTACCTCCAGATGTGTCCTCTTTCTATTTCTATTGGGAATTCCAAACTTTTGTTGTTGGAATATTATCAACACCATCTAGGGGCCTCTGATTGGAATAATGGAAAATCTCGGGCTGAAAAGCATGAGAAATTTAGAATGAAGGTTCAGAGTCTGAGAGCAGTCACTTTGTGTAAAGAAAATTCCAAAAGATTAGGTGTGACCAACATATTGGTCTTTATATCTGGAGACCAATATGTGTTAACTAATTGAAGTGTCAACCATTTTCATGTATTTTCTTTTTTAATACCAATATGTCTTTATCTTGTCAATTTCAAGGTTTCAAGTTACCAAGTTCATGTTATAAATCAACAATTTGTTCTCTGCAGGGTATGAAAAAACATAAACTCCTAAGAGAAGATATACTTCCAGCCATGGCATCAAATAGAAAGGTGCAACGATTACTTAACGAGTTCATGGACCTCCTATCTGAATACGAAAGCATTGAAACTTTTGTAGATCACACAAACGCTGTTGATCATACAAATTCTTCCCCACCAACAGAAGGTAAGGTAGACTCCGTCCACGCATTGACAGATCAGCTGGATTCTACCCTACCATCCAAGGACACTGCAACTTGAGTATAGACATTGGCCAAATGAGAGAAAATATAAGGCTGTTTAGACCGATGTCAGAGACCTGGGAATGCAGAGAATGAAACATAGGTATATGGGAGCCAAGCTTGCTCTGGCATTTGTATTTTATAACCAAGTCCACGTGACATCTCTCCAGATTCTCCGAAAATTTTTTGGTGTACCTAGTGGCTATTGTTGTTGATGCTTCTCATCCTTGATTGATGTACCATCTGTAGTGTGTTTTCCCTTTGTTCCAAGTTCTAACCCCTCTTTGAAGCAGCAGCTCCCAAGTGTGTATTACTAATCAATCATTTCATCATGTTGTTTATTTGGGCTAGTTTTATTGATTTCCTTGATTAATTTTTGACTCATTTACGTTGTGAATGACTGTTTTTATCTATAGGATTTTATGGGTTAGGATGTATAGGGCTTGTCTCCTTCCATATTCCTTCCATAATAACAGCTTAACAAGTTATTTGCTGTTTTTTTCGTTGGTGATATATTACATGTTTGTTGCAGACATGGCAGGACAACTTGCGGATATTTTTAGTTGTCCAGCACACAAGGCGGCTCATATTGATTTGAGATGCATGAAGATTTAAAGCAAAATCATATACATATTGGTAAACACTCCCTTAAAAGCACAGAATTTAAAAAGAACGCAAAAGATCCTATAAACTAGGTTGAAGTATAATGGTTTACAAGTTTAACTGGGTTGAAGCAAGGTTCAAAGTATACACGCATCGGCCCGTATCGGCCGTTATGTATCGTTCCGGCACCCCACTGATGCGCCCCTACAGTGGGTGTATTGGTGGTCTGACTGGTTCAGGGTGTGGCGAAGACTTAAACCGGCTCTCCTGAACTAGTTGGCGGAAAAAAAAAACCACCAAAAGGAGAATCGATTCGTCCGATATGTCCATACCGGTGTATCGGGTATGCTGATATTTTGAACCTTGGGCTGAAGTATAATGTTTTACTAGTTTTGAAACTTTTAATAACATGCAATGTTTTCAAAACTGGACTGGACTGGACCGGATGGTTGGACTTGGAAAACCAGGAACTGGTCACCTGACTGATTTCATTTCACCCCAAAACTGTTTTTGGCCAAAAGCGTTGATTTAGTCGGTGAATCGATGACTCGGGCAGTCGAACCGTCAACCTGGACAATGGTTTTTGGTCATTTTTATTTTTTATTTTTTGTTAGAATGAGCCATCCTTTTGGACCAGACGGACGGATTGTTTGACCCAGGAACTGGTCTCCAGTTCACTGTCCGCTCCAGTTTTAAAAACCTTGATAGCATGCCAAAATTAATCACAATTGCTGCCTACGTGTACCTATTTACCATCAGTATCATTTATTTTACTAGTGTAAGACTGTAAGGTCATATGCCCAGTGCTATATAAAGATATTAAGGGTTAGCTTTGGGGTTTTTATTGTTCAGTCCACCTACGGTTGGAATAGTAACAGATGGGCAACCGAATCAAAATTCAAGGGGGGTAGATCATAGGTGGAGTTGGTAAATTAAACGCAAAAACAGATGGATTGAATTCTAAATTTCCTTTTAACTTTAATGTCCTATATAGAAACTAAGGCAAATATCTGTATTATATAGTTCAAGAACGTTTGAAGTATCAATATTCTTGATATATAAAATTTGTATATCAATTTGTTGGAGCTCTTTTTAAACATTTTAGATTTGGTAATTTGATGGTGGGCATGCCACATCAATTTAGGGATGACAATGGGGAAAGTTCGGGGAGGGTTTTGTAAATTCTAGACCCTACCCATCTTCCTAAATCTTTTAACCCGTGCCTGCCTCAAAAACAGTAGCAGGCTATATTTTTAGAATCCAAACCCTTAAACATAAAAATGCAAACCCTCTCTGACCCTACCCTCCCTACATTCAAGGGTATGGTGGATTGGATACTTGTATTTCAAAACTGCATCTTATTTCCTATTATTTCTTGTTCTATATAAGCAATAAATAAGTGAAATAACACAAAAAAAAACAACAAAATTTTCAATTATTTGATTAAAACATGTAAAAAAATACAACTATCAATTATCATTCACGTAAAATTTAAAAATTATTAAATTCAAAACCTAATATATAAAGTCTATATGCGGATCGAGGAGGATTGGGTTTAGCTTAATACCATACCCGTACAGGTTATAGAATTACAAAACCTGTCCCCACCCCAAAACCGTCCTTCAAACAAAAAAAAAAAACCCACCCCATCAGGGTGGGTACTCACCAAGTAGGGTAGAAATTGCCATCCCTACATCAATTATTGACATTTGAAAATTGAAACAATTAAAATCCCTCAACTCTTAAGTTATGGTATTAGTACATGGCCCTAAAAATTGATATGTTTGGTACTTTATGATGTGTGTTGATACTTTGCAAAGTAAAAAGAACATGAGATATCTCTTGACGAGAACTTTGGTAGGAATTTCGTGCCCAGAATGCACAACTTTATGCCACATTTACTCACCATGCACCCGAGCTTGGATCTCCTACCCACAGGACACTATAGCTGTACATTGAGAGCATCTTCCCTATTTACATGTTATCATTTATAGGAAGATGTTCCCAATGTACAACTATAGTATCATGTGGGTAGGTGTGTGAATAGGCATTTGCCGTGTTGTTTTTCCGTTTTCATTTGTTGTTTGCCATTCATAATTATCACTAGTAGTAATTATGATTTTTTTAGGATAAGATACAACTATTCAAAAATAGATGCAAAGTACTTTAGGTAAGGGATCATTACCATATGAGCAAGATGAAATGTAATTGAACATGATGGATTGGTAAGAGAACATTATTATTCTAAACAATCGCAATTATGATTATTCTAAATCCAATGCATTAACTCCGCTAATGATTGAACAAATTTTTGAGGGCTAAGAGTTTCTTCATTCATAGATGACTTGATGAAAGATACATTGAAAGAAGCTTTTGATTAATTGAAAGCTGACATATGGCCAATACATCTGCTACTGTAATCGTATATGCAACCATTTAAAATATGTTGTTGAAAAATTAGGATTCAATGTATATTATACGCAGGAATTCAAAATCCAATGCGTTAAAAGAACCACCAATGATATATCATGATTTCCTTGGATTTTTAAAGGAAAACATATATTATCTCAAACTGAAACCAATGGAATAATGAGTAAGGAAATAGGTCGCCAGTCGGTGAGGGAAGACGCAAGAGAAGATGAAAGAGAGACGACAGATGATTTCCCCTAAAATTTGGTTTAAGAAAAACAAAAATTAAATTAACGAAGACAGAGCCACCCTTAATAGTTTTGACGTGGCATAAGGCTGCGAACTATGGGCAGGAAATTCCAGCCCAGAGAAACATACTTCAATTACATGTATTAATATTTTATTGTTTTATGATTATTTTGTTGCAAAATACCATTTTTTTTTTATTTTTTCTACCTTTTATTTGGAAAAGTCGGATTGAACCGAATGGGGATGGAACAAGCAAGGAAAAAACATATAGATGATGCAGTGTTTGATTCTAATGTATCCTTTTGTGAATTTATTTGGGCAAAATGGTCTCTTAGATATGATAAGTCTTGAGTAGAGGTGTAAATCGGGTTGTGATGCCCACAGCCCGGCATGATGGCATGCAGGCTATGCCAGGCATGGGTGCATGGCATGATCATGTAGGCTATACAGGGCTGGGGGTTTCAGGTCCTCGTGCTAGCATGGCGCGCGGGCCATGCTATGGGCCGAGTGCAGCCCGTTCGAGAAAGTACTAGCCATTGGTGCCCTTGGGGGACCCCCCCCCCCCAATGACTAATTTCAACTTTTTTTTAGGGAGTTTTTACAAAAGTACCCCCTCAATCAATAGTTATAAGCCTATAAACAACTATATAGGGGGGGTATTTATGTATTTTGACTTTGGGGGAAGAAAAAGATAACAATGCCCCTCCAATAGCTATATCCTATATAATAGCTAGTTTAGGACTTTTGGGACATTTGGGTAAAGTGATAAATGACTTTAAAATTATTAAAATACCCTCCCAACAACTAAACCATGGCTAGTTTTTAAGGCATTTTAGGCAATTAAATTATTTTCAATTCTTATAAGTAGCCATATCATCCACCATTCTCATCGCACTAATTCAACAATTCTCTTCTCATTTCTCATACTCTCTTAGTCTTTCATCTCATATAGTCACAGATTGTCATACACTTAGCAATTTAGGAGGAGTCTTTGAGGCTTTAACCATTGAAATCAAGTTGCGATTTGAATCAGTAACCCAATCATCTGGGTAAGTGCAATTAAATTAATTTTTATTTTATTGAATTAAAAAAAATGGTTGATTCTTCCCCCTAAAACCAATTCCCCTACATTAAGTTCACTAGCCCGATTTGTTGGATGATGATAATAAATTACAAAACAAAGGAGGGCATGACACTACTACACCTGATGAAGCAGATGATTAAAGTCAAGGAGATGGAGTAATTTTTTCAATTTTATTTAAACTATTTGTTATTTTTACAACAATGTAACTTTTTATTTTTAATTTGTAATTTTTTTATATTTTAAATGAAATAAAAGTCCTATTTTTTTTTCAATTTGTTGTTCATTTTGTATTGTGGTAAGTATTTTTTATTTCTTTGTTAGATTTTTATTTTTATTTTTCAACTTATTCCCAAAGGAATGTTAATATTTTATTTTACTTAGCAAAAATAATTAAAAAAAAATCAAAATGTCAAAAAAACAACAAAAAAAAAATTTAGGCCTTTCTGGCCCGGTTCAGCCCAGGCCCAAGGTCCAACCTATAGCCCCGCTCAGCACAGCTTACAGCCTGCCCAACCCAGATCAGCAGCACATGGCACAGCATCATGTGGGATCGGGCCATGAATCATGCTGGGCCGACCCCCAAATTATCACAAAGGAGGGAAATACAAACCAACTCAACCCATAGACACAACACGGCCCTCTCTTTGCATAGGCCACATGCGGGCCATGTCATGCCAGCCCAGCACGGCCTGATTTACACATCAACTGAGTCTTGAAATATCTAAAACAAGGTCAGAATAGAAGGGTAAATCAGGGTGACAAATAATTTATTTTTTAAATAAAAGTGATAAATAATAAATTGATAATGTCTCTCCTCCGTGAAATTATTCTTTGATCTCACTTAGACCGGATAGAGATGCAATTTGGGTGGGCCTTAACCCGAACCCGGACTCATCCAGATGGTACGGTTGGACTTGGAGGCTCCTCGAACTATAGTGGCTCGCACTACTCATAGCCATAGGGGAGAAAATAGGGATAATGAACAATGACTGGGAAATGCGATGATGTGTATGGGTATTTATAAGTGGTCATGGACCGTTAGATATGATTGATTGGCTCGTCAACCATAAGAAACGACAAAAGTTCTGAGCAAACGAAGGTGGTGGGGGATTAATTTTCGGTAATAACAAAAATGAAATAAAAGTCAAATGTAGGTGTTCGGTACTGGGGGGGGCTAAAGGGGAAAAAAGGAAAAACGTTGTACGTAACCACTATGACCCCACCATGGTCAATTTGAAATGGTGTATTTTAGAATACATCATAAAAAATCATGAATTACCAAATGTTCGTAGTTATGTGATATGTTCGAAGGTGTGATGAGTTGTAGAACACAAGATTTGTCTGATAAGAACATCGCAATATGTTCTAGAACACACTGTAACTCAGCCCAAAATCTGCCACAGCATAAAAGACCACCATTCTTTATGACGCATTAATTGCACATGGGAAAGCTGAACAAGTGTGAGTAACCACACAAACGGATCTGATTGCGGGGTACCTGTCCACAGCTTAAAAGACGCAGCAGATCTGGACTCGTTATGAAGTAGAATCCATCACCTTAACGTCATGGCATTCCTCACCATCAAGAGGATCAACCCTACGCCTAAACCAGACTGCTTCATATTTTACAAAATTTGATTTTGAACACAAAACTTTCTTTAAAAATTTAAGAAAAAAAAATGAATTGGGTAAAAAATTTTCCATCCTTGAACCAACTGTTAAATCAATGTTAAGCGTTATTGAGACCGATGGATCAGAAGTCAGAACTAATGTGTACAGCCAAATAATTCATTATCCCCCTTCAACTTCTAATTACAGGCATCCAGCATGGATCAAACTGAGAAGCCAGCTAGAAAAGGAAAACAGAAAATGGGCCCCATTGTCATATCTAAAGATGTTTGACTAGATAAACTGTCGAGTAACTAGAGATTTTACTACCATGGTATTTTTTAACAACTTGGTGATCCACAGAAGAAGAGCTTATGTGAACAAGATTCAAGTTTAAGTTGGGAAAGATTCAAACAGGTTGGCCACAAATGATCACATATTTACCAACTAGCTTAAATGAACTTGATATTAAACATTAATGTAAAGTACATAAAAAACAGCTAGCCACAACAGTTGCTTTTCTGCTGAATTGGTTGCCCCTTCATTTGAACTGTATTCGCTGGTTTCTTGTTTGCATTGGGTTGGGTTCCAATTCTGCAGAATAATGAGAAAAAAAAAAAAAAAAAAAACAAGATAAATAAATGCTGTCTCCCAATCTTTTTTGGCAGTAAATTTGCATAATAATTCGAGGCAAAACGGTAAACAGAATGAAATGAATTTTGATCCACTCAAAGGTTACATCTAAGAGATTCTGCATGTAGGATACAAATGGTGCTGAAGTTGCACAATTCCAATTTTAAGTTTTGAAACTCAAATAAGCGGTCTACTGTCCATATTCAGGAAAATGGGTTTTAAAGGCCATTGCAGATAAACTAATGATAGTAGTTTTCCTTGGAAAAAGACAATGCCTTCTAAAATTAGTAGGATCCTGAAATATGGGCACACAAAGCTCAAAAGAAATTATAAAAGATTGCACCTGATATACAGTCAAAGAAAAATGTGAATGATCAGGAATTTTCTAATTAGAACACCAAGAGTAATATTTACCTTTTCTTGATCTCACCAGCCATTGTCAAAAAAGCTTGCTCTACATTAATCGAATCTTTAGCACTTGTCTCAAGGAAAGGGATCCCCAGCTCATCTGCAAATGCCTGCAATTCATTTGGTTTAGTTGGAGTGAAGCCACTTCCAAAAGATTGGCAGAAGCCAAAATATTTTGAAATGGAAAAGGCCACCTACTAAATAATTTGTAACAAAACTGACCATATACTCCTTTTTCCTCTTCCTAGTTTAGGTGTGTTCTCATTCTTGCTACTTGTTTATAATAATTAATGACTTTCTCCCCTTTCCAGTTTATGTATGTTCTCATTCTTGCTACTTGTTTATAATAATTAGTATGACTTTTTCCTCTTTCCTTATGGACTTGGCTCAGCATCATCCTTAGTTGTCGAGGCCTACAAGGCCTCTAGATGACTAGTAACCTTTGGTTGGGTACCTCACCTCAACGCCTTGTTTATAGCAACTAGGTGCCCATCTAGGCAACTAAAATGACAAGGTGTGCAGCTTATTATAGTATCATCCATATTGCTTACTAATATGTATTTTATAGCAACTAGGCGCCCATTTACTATTGAAGTATAAAAGATCCAAAGGTTTCAAGAAGAGAAAAAGAAAAAATAATGGTTGCTAAATAAAACAGAAGCTCCACCCATGTTCTTTTTCTCTTTTATTTACTGTCTTAAATTTTGTCATAAAATTATAACCATCTTTAGTTGCTAATGTGATATGAAATTGCTCTATTAAATAATTATATTAGTGTCACTTTTTGGAAGTATGAAATCGATATAATTGAAATACTATTGTCATGTTTCGAGAGAGAATTTAACCTGCATAGGACTAAGCACCGCACTGTCACCTAGAATTGCCCAGGCACCTTGACTATGGTCATTATTCATTAACCCATCCAAGCTTGTCCTATATGGGTCTTGTTCTGCTATTCCACTCTGCTCACTGCCATATTCATTGTTTAATTAGGAGCCTTCAAACCATTTTTCATTACCATGTTCTTTTGGCCTACCTCTGGCTCTTATAGAGCCTCCAACTTGTTACTTTTCAGAAGGATGTAATCATGTAAATAGTCTTCTCTCTGCACATGACCAAATCATCTTTAGTCTATTTTCCCTCATCTTGTCACCTATTGGGACTACCCCTAGGTTCCTACGAATATGTTGTAACCCTATCCTTTAGGCTGTGTTTGGTTGCAATGCAAATAAATTTGCACTGATGCAAAACCATGGCAATGCAAATGATTTGAGTGTAAATTTTGACCTATTTTTGTTTCAAATCTTAGCTTATTTTGTTTGATTGCAGTACAAATGAAGTAAATTAAGACATGAAACAGAATAAAGCGAGATTCAAAACAAAATTAAACAAGAATTTGCATTTTTTACATTTACACTCCCATGCATTTGTACTAGTGCAAATTGCAGCCAAACACAGCCCTATGGTTTCCCACTCATCCGTATCAGCATTCACATTTCTGCTATACTCATTTTTGGATATGTTTCTGCACTGCCTAACACTCTGATCCCTGCAACATTAATGGCCTTAAAACCATTTTATAAAATTTTCCTTTTAAACCTAATGGCACTCTCATATCATAGAATTCTTGATGCACCTCTCCATTTTACCCATCCCACTCTAATTCTATGGGCATCTTCCTCCTTAATCTCTCTCTTGTTGTGGATCCTGAAGCAAGTTAATGAGAGTCGAAAGAGGTCATATTGATATAACTTTTGATCTCCAATCCTAGTGGAATAACAATTTCCACTTTTTTTGGTAAGTAAAAAAATTTTATCAGCTCAAAACAATTCAACCCTACCTATCCCCTGTTTAGTAAGGGTATCATCCAGTCTATTTGCCGATCTTCTAATCCATCTAAAGCTGACACCCAAATCCCTTGCTAGGAACCTCACTTCTCTCATAGCTAATCTGAACTCCACACACTTAAGCTGTCCATGCACATCTTATTTACAACTAACAAGGAGTTGTAAAGAGTATCCATGACCAATTGGTCCTGAGAGCAAAGCCACCAATCTGCCTTCATGCTCCACTAGTTCCAGAGAGAAGTGGCTTGCAACTAGAACTATCATCAAAGTTCAGTTTAAGTCTGTTCAGCCCTGAAGGAGTCCACTCAAGTACAGTGGACCTCCAAGTGGAAGAAAATGCCACCACATACCAAACCCCTAATAATATCATCCACTGTATATTTCTTGAAGAAATTGAGGGTTTTCACCCAATGAGCCACCTAGGGGTGTAAACAATATCCTAGTATCCGCTTTCAAATTCAATATCCAACATAAATGAATCAAATTCGGATAATTCAATTAATTCAACGGTCAAATTTCAATTAAATTTTAATACCGATTGATATATCAAATCGAATTCAAATCTACACTAATTCGATTCGATCAATATTAGAATTTGATTACTATAAATATAATATATTATAATAATATAAAAAATATAAATACAATGTAATATAGGGTTATGTGGCTTATATTCCCTCTCTTGACCCAAGAGTGGGAAATTAGGGCTGAGAACAGCCCCCATCGAACCACAGATTCGGTCCAACCAATTTGGTCCAATCTGGTTCGAATGGGTCTAGGGTTTGATTTTTAATCCAAGAATTGATCTGAAATTAAATTACTGATTAAAGACAATCAAGAATCAGTACTAGGGTTGTTCGCACATCTGCGCACACCATGGCTGAATGCACATCATTGCCATGGTGTCCTTAAGATCATTGGATGATCCCCCCTTCGTGGTGGGCCCCACACGTCCCCTAAAGAGGAACCGTGCGGAACCCTAGTCGTTTAAGGCCCACCGAAATCTGGCTTTATGAAAGTCAGTGGGAGCCACTTTGGTTTGACCTAAATTAAACTAGAGCGCAACTTTTGTTCCCTCCTGAAATATGGGTGCATGTGCTAGGGAGATTCATATGATGAACTCTCTAAAGGCCTTCCATCATTAGCATGAGGATGGGTCCTTCAATAATGAGAAAACGCACCATAAAATTGGGCTATCCATTTGCTGCTGGATTTGTTGGAATGTTTCATAAGATGATAGGGGCGTCAGACCGATGTGGGAGGAGCCTATCCTAAAATGGAAGACTCTCTCACGGTACCTTGGCGTTCACAAATATGATGGGTGAGCACTCACTGGACAGAAAGGTTTAACCTAAAATGGCAATGAACTTTGTCAGACAGAGGCCAAAGGGAAAGCTCATACAATGAGTGGATATGATCATNGAACTTTGTCAGACAGAGGCCAAAGGGAAAGCTCATACAATGAGTGGATATGATCATTCACAGAAAGGTGGTGGGGTTATGCAGCTGAAACAGTTGGCTCCATGCACCCTATGTGATTTCCCACATTTCCAGAGACATAATTCGTAGTCTCCGTCATTGAGATAGGAGGGAAATCTCAAAGATGAACAAATGGGAATGAAACATAGATTAAAAGTCATATCTATGTGGATAACATGAATCAAATTAGGTTGTGGACTAATGTTTGCTTTTTATCAGAAATGGCAAATGGACAATTTGCTAAACTGTTGAACGACAACAAACTTAAGGGACCTAACTATGTTGACTGGTACCGTAATCTTATGTTGGTCCTAATGTCTGAAAAATTAGACAAAGTAGCTAAGAATCCTGCCCCAGAGCGTCCGGGTGATAGGGCTTCTGAGGCCCGAAGGAGGGACTACCAGGAATGGGAAGAGAAGAATTCCCTAGCCCGCTGCTACATCATTGCCTCCTTGGATAATCCGATATAGAGACAGTTCGATCAGATCGAATTGTCCAAGGACATATTGGATAGTCTAAGGTCGACGTATGAGGAGCAGAATCGTTCTACTCGTTAGAAGGTCCAGAAACAGTTCATGACCACGCAGATGTCCAAGAACCAGCAGGTTCATTACCATTGTCTTCAGATGATGGGTTACATTAATGAACTTGAGGCTCTTGGATCCGGGCTTGACCATGTCACGAAGGTAGACACCATCCTGAATTCTCTGCCTCCTTCCTTCAATCAGTTCATCATGAACTATAACATGAACAAGCTGAATGTCAACATCCAAGAATTCAGCAATATGTTGCAGAGGGCCAAAGAACTGATTAGAAGRATGAGCCCATAGCCATGCTTGTTGAAGCTGGCAAATCGGGCAAGAAGAAGAGGAAGGCTAAGAGAAAGCCCCAGAAGAAGGCTGCCAAGTCTAAGAGGCAGAAGAAGGACAGAGCATCAGATGCTTGTCACTTCTGCAAGCAGACCGGCCATTGGAAGAGGAACTGTCCTCGGTACCTGGAATCCAAAAAACAAGGTAATTTCGAATCTTGTGTCATAGAAACCAATTTGTTGGTAACTTTTGCTTCCTGGTGTATTGACTCCGGGGCTTCGACTCATGCGTGTAACTCATTGCAAGGGTTCAGGATAAGCAAAAGACTGAGTGATGGAGAAGTAACTCTTTACTTGGGGACTTCTGCAAGTGTTGCAGCTATGGCTATAGGAACCGTAGAATTATTTTTCAGAGAATGATCTATTGCACTAAAAGATTGTCTTTATGTACAGAATTTGAGAAGAAATTTGATTTCTGTTTCAAAATTGTGTGCGGATGGATATTCTATTCTTTTTTGGTAATACGATTACTGTTAAAAGAAATAACAAATTCATCGCATATGGAGAACTTGAGAATGGTCTCTATGTTCTCCATCCTTCTTTGGAAACTAACATAGCCGAAATTACGCCGGATGACATCCCCAAGAAAAGAACCCGTGATCCCATGTGCCTGTGGCATTACCGACTTGGCCATATTAATATAAATCGTATCACAAGGTTGGTAAAGGATGATCCTTTGGATTTTCTAACTGTACAAGATCTTCCGATTTGTGAACATTGCCTTCAGGGTAAGATGACGAAACGACCATTTAACGGTAAGCCTGAAAGATGTACAGGCACGCTTGACCTTATACATACTGATGTATGTGGTCCCATGAGTGTTAGGACTCGTAACCAGTACGTGTATTTTATTACAATTCACCAATGATTATTCTCGGTATGG